ACATGGCAATATGGAAGGCATGATATAACAAGTGGTAGGTAGCGCGACATAGCGATAGAACGAACAACTAGCAAGCAAAGATAGAAGTGATTTCGAGGGTATGGTCATCTTGCCTGCAAAGTTCTCAGAGTTGTTGAAAGCTTGATCCTCGATAGCATACTCAACAGGTTCCTTGGTCACGTACTCGTCTATCGGCTCTACCCAAGGCAAGAACACAAACAATGGAACAACAATCAATCACGATGCAATGCACAAGCAACATGATGCAATACATGTCATGCTATGCAAGATATGATATGCAATGCATATGTGTGCTCCGGAAGGGAAAGAATGATCAAGACATCAACTTGGCAAACCAAGTATGCCACTGGAAAGATGAGGTGATTTCGGTCGAAATCGATATAAGGATCACCGGAAACGGATGCACGGTTTACAAATGGCAAGCAAAACAAGAATGACGCAGAACTGCGATTAACAACATGATGGCACTTGGAATGCAACAAGAAACTAAGCTACTCCACTCCAACATAGCCACAAAGCATATGACTGTCATGTACAAGAGATGCTTGACAAAACATGAACACTGAGCTATGACTAAATCACACTAGAACAGATTCAAACAAGCATGGCAAAAGTGCAAAAGATATTAGCTTCACAGACTTAGTGAAAATACTAACATGTCAAAAACAACATCAAGAAGCAAAGTTTAAAGCAAGAAAACAACATGCTACAGGAACATATCATAGCAAAAAAAGGCATGGCATGCTTCTACTAAATTCATAGAACAAAACTACCTTACTGATAATGAGCCAAAAGGAACAGAAGATATGATGGCACCCATGTAAACATAGCAAGTTTTATTAACAGTTTCAGACTTAGAAGAAAAACAAAGGATGGCATAAACAGATTTATGATAGCAACTTTGCGAGCTCATGCCACTCACCACAAAGCATTAAGTGACAACATAAGCATACCAATAGCAAGATGACATGTTCATGAAGCTAAAAATGGCAAGAGCAAGATCATAGGGTGCATGCATCACTAGCAACAACCATGGCAATTTTGATTAGCATGTTAACAATCTTCCAGGAATAATATATAGCAAAAGTAGAGCAAGAAACTGACATGCTAGAGCACTCCATAATTTCAAATAGGGGCATGAATGGATAGAGCATAACCACATGTTCAAAACACCCTTAATGAAGTATCTCAAAATAAGCATGGATCTCATGGAATCATCAAGTTTACATGGCATCAAAATAATAGTAGGAAAAGGACTTAGCAAAAATCTACATCCCTGAAAACACCAACATTATGGAGCCTACTTTGCATGCTTGTTCTAGTCACCACATAGATCACAAAATACAAGACTTGCACCCCTGTAAAGGTGGCATGTTGTAGTTCAAAACACATGTAGATCTCATGCTCAAAGGATGCACACATCAAATGCAACAAAAATGACAAATCACCATGTTCTGTTAAGAAGCGACAGTTAACATTTTATAGCACTCTTGCAACAATGATAATGTCACCATAATGGACAGTAACATGCACGGAAATACTTCTAACATGAAGAGCTCAACGATACGAACATTTTGACATATCATATGCATTATTTGGGATCACGGTCATGGAGATATGACATGATGAAGTAGGCATGAAAATATTAGGGACTTGGGAAAAATTCCAGGGTCAACCTCAACTGAATATGGATCTAGTGTTTCCGGTGGCACGGTTCCCGAGGTGGTCGGAGAAGCACCGGAGTTGCGCCTGAGTTGGACGGGACGACGGCCGGCATGCTCGGGGCGGCTGAGGAGGCCGGTGACGAGGTGGCGGCGAGCCGCGGGGTCGACGTCGCGGTGTGGTGTGGCGGCAGTGGAGGTTCACGGCGGCGCGGGGTCGGCGTCGGAGCGAGGCGGTGACTGGCGGAGTGACGGGCGGCGGCCGGAGCGAGCACGGGGCTCGGGCGCCCGCGGGAGGCGGCGGCGCGGCGACCCGGGCCGGGGGGAGGGGATCTGGGCCTCTCGGGCCCGCACGGTGGAGGGGAGCAACGACGGTGACCTGGCGGCTAGCGATTGGTTTGGCGCGGCGGCGCGGATGCGTTCGGTCCGGGCGGACATGTTCGGTGGCGGAGGGAGATGGCTAGGGTTTGGACCCGGATTTTTGGAGGGGATGCACATGTTTATAGGTGGATGGAGATAGGGGTGTCCAAATGAGGTGCATTTTTCGCCCATACGATCGTGATCGGACGACAGAGAACATGGAGGTGGTTTAGATGGGTTATTGTGCTGTTTTGGGGGGGTGCTGGGCTACAACACAAAAGAGACTTTTGTGGTTACCCAGTTAACCGTTGGGGCATCAAACGGCCTCCAAATGGAACAAAATTTGACATGCGGTGTACCTTTGTTGTACCAAGGCCACTTGACAAATCTCGACCCATTCCGAGAGCATTTTTCTCCCGCTCACGAAAAGAGGCAAAAGGGGTGCGCCGGGTGCATGTGGGAGTGTCGGATTGCGAAACGGACAACGGGGAAAAAGCTCGGATGCATGAGACATGAACAAAATGCAAAACAAATACAAAAACCCAACCACGAAGGGAATATCATAACATAAAGCCGAAAATGGCAAGAGTCGGAGTTACAAATATGGCAAGTTACATCCGGGGTGTTACACATGGTGTCTCAACACGAAGAATTGTAGAAGCGGTGCATACTCAGGGAGAACACTTTTACCTTGAAATTTAGTGAAGGGATCATCTTATAATGCTATCGTCGTTTAAAGCAAAATAAGATGCATAAAAGATAAACATCACATGCAATCAAAAATATGTGACATGATATGGCCATCATCATCTTGTGCTTTTCATCTCCATCTCCAAAGCATCGTCATGATCTCCATCGTCACCGGCTCGACACCTTAATATCCATCGTAGCGTCGTGGTCGTCTCGCCAACTATTGCTTATACAACTATCGCTAACGCATAGTGATAAAGTAAACCAATTGCATGGCATTTGCATTTCATACAATAAAGAGACAACCATAAGGCTCTTGCCGGTTGTCAGATATCTTACAAAACATGATCATATCATACAATAATGTTTATCACATCATGTCTTGACCATATCACATCACAACATGCCCTGCAAAAACAAGTTAGACGTCCTCTACTTTGTTGTTTCAAGTTTTATGTGGCTGCTACGGGCTTCTAGCAAGAACCATTCTTACCTACGCATACAACCAATGGTGTTTCATCAAGTTTGCTGTTTTAACCTTCTTCAAGGACCGGCCGCAGTCAAATTCGATTCAACTAAAGTAGGAGAAATAGACACCCGCCAGCCACCTTTATGCAAAACTAGTTGCATGTTAGTCGGTGGAACCGGTATCATGTTCGTGGACATGTAAGGTTGGTCCGGGCCGCTTCATCCCACAATACCGCGGAATCAAAATAAGACGTTGGTGGTAAGCAGTATGACTATCACCGCCCACAACTCTTTGTGTTCTACTCGTGCATATCATCTACGCATAGACCTGGCTCATGATGCCACTGTTGGGAATCGTTGCATGGAAAACAAAAAAATTCCACGCACACGCAATGATCTATCTATGGAGATGCATAGAAACGAGGGGGAGAGTGTGCACCCTCGTAGACCATAAGCAGAAGCGTTTCACAACGCGGTTGATGTAGTCAAACTTCTTCATGCTTCAACCGATCAAGTACCGAACGCACGACAACTCTGCGTTCTGCACACGTTCAGCTCGATGACGTCCCTCGCCTTCTTGATCCAATAGGACGTCTAGGTAGTAGATGAGTCCCGTTAGCATGACGGCGTGGTGACGGTGATGGTGAAGTGATTGTCACAGGGCTTCGCCTAAGCGCTATGGAAATATGACCGGGGGAGTAAACGGTGAAGGGGGCGCCGCACACAGCTAAACAATTGTCTGGGATGTGCT